TAATGCAGCTGCGCTGGCCGTTGTGCCCACAGAAACTCCTTGGGCGCTTGTGGATTTCTCTGAACAGTACAAAGTAGAGTTCTTGACTTTCTTCTCACCTATCCGCTGGAAGCACCAAAACATATAGCATAGCATAAAAACCTAGGACCGAGACCAAGAACGCGATAATAATCACGAGAAAGGTTAGTTTCCCGTTTCACTTGAGTGTAAGGAGGTCGAAAAGACAGCAGAAGTATAGAATCCAGTACCGCTAACCTGTTCTTTTATAGGTAGTGAACGGAGCGCAGCAGTTGACTCGAGAGCCAAGTAGGTTTTCTTTAGAAGCTCAAAAAGCTGTTTGTCTTGTACTCTTTTACCATCTAAGGCTGCCAAATGGCGACAGCCCTCTCTTGCCATCAACCTACAACCACCATGTCGAAAGTACATTGGATAAATCTTTCTATGAGCAGAATTCTCACATATCGTGAAGTACATTTGTCACAGCATATGCGAATGTTGGAAGTTTTGCCAATAAACAGCACTTAGTGAGAGAACACATCCCATCAAAATAAAGCTGATCGTCTAATTTTAAGCGCGATAGGCGGTACAATCCAACACCGTCTATGCATTCCGCCAAACAACGGGCCATTCTACAGCGGGCTGATTCCATGGATTCAACAACTTCTAAAAGTTTTTCTTCTCTCTCCTGATGATAAAAGTCGTGTAAGTGGAACTGACCTGATTCAATTACAACAGTAGCGTACTGCAGCAATGTGCTTATGGCTGCCTCCCCATCGGAGCTGTCTAGGGCCAACAAATAAGGTGCAAGTATTTGGCACAACTTGGGCTGGAAAACATAAGAGCTGGTAACAGGTATACTAGCAGTCTGCAACGCGAAAGACACAATTCTGGCGATTAACTTGATTCTAGTGTAGAGTTACCGAAGTTAAACTCTACCATATTGCTAAAGCAATTTCAAATCCTATGTTTTCAGCAGGTCAGACCCAGGCAAAATTGAATTTTCGATAGATAGCCTAGCTACAACGGTGACTGAGTGAATCGTTCGCCCTAAGGATTGAGGAAGATGGAAGAGAGGCTATGTACAAGTCACGAGAACGCCACTACATGGAAGCGACTCAAAAGTGAGCAGAAGATGCATTTGTGAGAATGCCGGTCGCTATGTGAGCGACACTCGTGTTGGCCTTCAGCGATTTCGGAAGTCGAAACCAAAGTATTCGAAATTTGGGGATAAGTTATTAACCGACCACATTGACGGCATTCTTCTTAGCGACTTCGAAAATAACTAAATCCGTTTCACCGCAACTGATGACTTCCATGAGATCACAAAAGAAGCAAGACAACCATCGTGAAACGCCATTGCTGCCATTACAGCACTGAAACGCTGAGGAAAGTCAAGAACGAGATTCGGTATGTAAAAAAATGGCTCATAAGTAAGTAACGAACTGAGTTTGTCTTATCGACAGCTTCACGAAGAATAGCTGAGCCACCAAGTGCACTGCAACCAAGGATGCGAAGGCAACTACCAAAGGTATCGACAGAATTAAGTCTAAAGCTCGAAATAAGCTTAGTTGATGAGAAAATTGGAATCGATCGTTTCGCACCTACCCGGGATCGCTTAATTTCAAGAGACAATAATCTTTCGTGAGATGAAGAGCACATTGCAGATCCATTCTCCTGTGAGGAACGGTAGAAACGGACCAGTTCAATAATGAAAGTACAGGGGCTATGAATCGACGAACGTGGGGTAAGATATCCCATGCAAAGAGTAAGCGAGACACAATTTCTGAAGAACTCTATTCTGCGATACTCGAAGAGTTAAAAGACAAGTGAACTCATAAAAAGTCAAAGTCAGAACGAATTTACCATCTCTGCATGAGTTGCTAAGTAAATATTGGCAACCATGTTCCTCTTCTAAAGAAGAGCGTAATTTTTTCCAGAACCGAAGGCAATGGAAGACTCGCACGTCCTTAACAAATAAATGCAGTTATAACGGGTTAGGCTCATTCAACTGACCTTCACATCGCCAGTACTCAGGAACTCTCCAGTCATTGAAGTGATGAAATGTTCATCCAGACTGGTGCTTGCGCACGAATCATCTTCTTGAATACATCTCATGAGAGTAAGTTCTGCAGAGGAGAAGCAGTCAGATGTCTCGATTTGGGCGAAAATTTGAGAAGTAAGGTGTGGGTGGCTGGAAACAACATCAATTACCACACAGAGGTGGCGCCAAAATTAGATCCTCACAGGGATGCTAAGTTGTGTTAAACCATCAAGCCTTTGATAGAGCTTCAACCGGCTATACTTGTGTTTGTTTAGCTATTCATAAGACAATATCACATTTTGCTATATTCAGTTCCTATTAAGTAATATTTGATCGAAATGACATTTTCGTTCATCAATTTTACAACCTCAGTTTGTTCAACTGACCCCGAATAGTTCTCCTCAAAAAAGTACCGGCCTCATTGGATACAAGCCTACTTCTCCCATTTCAGTTGCTCATTCCGATTCTAAAGGGGCCTTAATTGTGTCCAGCGACTCACGTCAAGCCACTTCTGTGGAGCCGAAATTGGAAATGACAAAATGGACTGCAAGGATGCGTCAAATGGCCACAAACAACGGTGTGGTAACCAATTCTGAGCCAAAATGTGTCTATCTATTGGCCCGTTCTTTTCAAACACGTAAATGGTGTGCAGCGCCTAGACAACATCTTTTACCGATATTCTGAGGCTCTGTTTCTCCACTGTCTACTCTCGTATTTGATGTCTTAGCCCGATGTAACCACCTTTCAACACTTTCATTGTCTTTTCGAAACTGACGGCACTAGAACCCAACTACTACTGGATTTATGCAACATCTCTCATCCTTATGGAGACATTTGTACCGCAAAACGCGAAGAAGAGCAATAATTGAAACAGCTACAACATCAAGAGGACCGATCATGACTAATATGACTAAAATGTGTGTTCACCTCTGCGCAATGGTGTGAACCATCGTCGAAATCACAGACGAAAAACCAAGCAGAAAACCTCGTTCCATTTTCTTGTCGAGCGACCTTCTTGTAGGGGAACGGGCTATAGTCACTAGATTGTATAAAAACATCATGCAGCTATTACGTGAAATACTTGTGAGACCCTGAAAAAAAAAGGTAAAAGGTAAATGCCTTATTAAACGAAGACCATGATTCAAAGTTGTTGAGAAAAGTGCGAATTTACGCCTCCGCTTTCCCTGAGAAAAGACCTTACAGCATTCCACAAACATGTCAGCGTATCATGCGGGTTATCCATGAAGAGGCTCCAGAAAATGCCAGTCGTCTCATCTCTGTGGCTATAAAACAAATGTGGTCAGAAAACTGTGTGCTGTGAATATAGCCTTTTACATTCATAAGGATATAATTCTGTTGAGGCAGATCAGGAAAAGAACAAAAACAAGCTTATGAAGGCCGGAATTTCGCGTGAGTACCTTTCCAGCACGGCCAGATTCAAAAAGAGAAGAGCTGGGAGCGCCTCAGCTTTGAAATTCTTTGTTTTCCCACTGCTTATATCCTTCACGAGTTGATCGTTACGAAGTGGAGATGGAACGCTAAATTAAGAAAATAAGTTACATACCTTCAAATCTACTAAATAATATTGGAGCTAGAAAATGTACTTAATGTAAGGAAGGCGTTTGCGGCAAGACTGAGAAAGCATGATGGAGTTATAGTGACAGTCCAACATATCAGGAAATCCCACAATCAATTCCTCGCATGCCTAACATAGCTAGAATGAACCAAAACACGGAAAAAGGGAATTTCGGAAAAAAGAACCTGAAGAAGTTTTTCATGCTGTATGATGTTTTCCAACAATTGGGTATGAAGCCGAAACTTTGTGGGATCGGACAATATCGTCCTGACCAGTTTCTGGAATAACATTCTAAAAACGCTCAAAAACAAAGTTTACAGCTTCATTAATGGAAGAACAGGCTCCTGAATGAAAAAATTAGACGCCTGCTTCAAGTGAATGCCTAATACGATTAACTAAGAGGGGATGAATTTTTCGCGGTGAACAGGTAGATAACAATTCTTTTAGAAGACATTCAAGTAGCAACAAAGTTCCGCTCGAGTAGTTTCGAGTTTGACAGAACTTATAAGAACAACAAAAGTTAACAGCAATTATACTAGTGCTCTAACCGACTTACTAGTATGGAAACCACATTGGACGAAGCTCGTTCAAACAGATTGGATATTACCGTCCAGTCCACCATCGATGATGGGAGATTATCCAGATAGCGTATCAAACAAGTCACACTAAGTGGACTAAGATCAACTATGACTGCTTCGTCATTCTTAAAACAAAAGAGCAGATTTTCACCTCTCCAAAAACAATATAACACCAAAGAAAGCAAACCAGAAACGGAATTGAACTATTCTCACTTTACATGCCCTTATAATGTATGTATTGAGCAGCCGATAATAAATCTTTCCCTCTCGCTCGCTGTATTCACCTTCCGAGACGTCTTCCTCGATCAAACGACTAAAGATGGCTTTAAATACTAAAGCATAATGAGTCAAAAAAAAAAAAACGCTGTGGAGATTTCGAGAATTCGTAACGTTCAAGCATTCAAATATTACACTATGCACTTTCACATGTAATCCAAAAGCGTGTTCCTCCTCAGTAGTTTCTTCCCGAATCTTCCATGGAATACTTGTATTACACTCGAAGTCTTTTCTTATCCTGTTTCTGAGTAAGTCCCAGAACCCATAACATGTGCTTTTTTGCTTATCTAGCCTTCAAAACGGGCTCAATTATGGCGTTATGGAGAACGACCTTAGTCGACGACCCGCCTAAACTCCAGTCTACGACCTCCATATCGAACTCTTTAAAAAAAGATAACAATGAATCCGCTTCTTTTGGAAACAAAGTTTTCCCTTTCAACTGGTCACTAACTCTCATAGCTTTCGCAGATACGCGACAAACTTTTGATGCTCCTACAAAGATAGCTCAGCTGTCCCACATCTGCAGAAACTAGAACCCCTTACTTGAAAGATCTTGAAAAAAAAAACTGAAAACGAACAAAATTTTGTCGGCAAGCCTTTTTCTAGACTCGGTATCAATAGCTTCTCCACATTCATCGAAAAGTAGAAGTAGATCTGGAACTGTGTCTACATTACTGGCAAACCGCTCCAGGATACGTCCAGCTGCGCAACGTAGGGCCACACAATCGTTTACACGTAGTCGGTCTCCAATCTTCCGCATCACGCTCCTCTACAATTTGAGATCTACACAGCAGAAAGCATCAGAGGTGATTGAGATGTTCCTTAAACATACTATCATGCCAGCGGAGACTTCGAACTGCACTTGCATTGATGCTAAATAAACAGCAAGAGCTGGGCAATCTATCACTCGAGCAGTCAAAAGCTTGAGAAGGTTTGGTGGAATCAAAACGCTGGATACTTCAATGGGGCGAAAAAACGACAAAGATTCTGGTTTTAAATTCGGCACAACCACACACAGCCACCGGTTCATTATCTAAAACAAGGTGTGAAAATTCAAAAAAAAAGAAACGTTTGGAATAGGAAAAGTCCTGAAGTGATATGGAATACACCAACGTTGAGTAGGTGTGTTGCCTCGGCGCGTGGTTCAATTCCGAGCTTTGACAGAATACCACTAAAGGAGCACCAGAGCGAAATTCGTATTTCATCGCAAACATCTGTGAAGTAGAAGAAACAGTCATTTGAGAAGCGTCAAGTGGGATGCGAGAACTAGAAGCGTAGAAAGGTTTCAGCAAACTGTCACTGACCAGAATGTGACCATCGCTCCGAGAAAAGATGTGTTATGTATTCCACAAGTTCGTCCACAATAATGAGCGGAACAAAAGGAGCTGGACTGCTCAAAGGACTCGCTGATTTGACAAAGCCAAACTTTTCCAAGTCGCGCTCGATTCCATCGTTTGCTGAAGGGCAGAGCTACGTCAAAACGAGAAAAAGCACTTTCTTTTTTCAAAAGCGGCCAAACTGAGTGTAAAAGGATGGGATTACGCGAATCCGCTCATATGCAACATTGGCCGCCGTATGACTCCTAAGGGCATAACAGTTCCCAAATGAGGATCGGCTACCCACTAGCCACTACGGAAATTAGACCGCGGAAGCGAGTTACATATGAATTTTCACGACATACAGCAATATGCATCTCGCGCAGAACCATATTATAACAAGAGAACACAGGACAAAGTTAGAACGAAAGATTCAAAGGGAAAAAAAAAACAAAAACAGCTTACATTTGCTTGGAATAGTGGAAGATTCAAGAGCTGCAGCTGGATGAAGAGAAGCCAACGAAAACAGCAATAGACCTATATTCCCTTCAGGTTCGAGACGAAACACGAGCCACTCTGCCACTTGACAGCGGAATCTAAAAGCTGACAGCCTGGTAGATCGATTAAGATGTGCATGAGACCAACTCGAACAGACCTCCACTCCTTAAGGCCCTTTTTCTTGTCGACGACTCCAGTAAAGGGTTTCATCTCATCGAACTCGAATTCAGTAACGAGAAACATGACCAGCTTGTAAATAACTGCCCCGTGATGGATTGAAGTTCGCGATAGGATATCACAAATGATATCTACGAGATCCTCGTCATCTCCTAGTTCCTAAAGATTACTAGTTTCTGATGAACACAACCTGCAGTACACCAATAATTATCAAAATACTAGCTTTACCTATGAAAATAACTCGCTTACCGATCGATATTTCTTAATGAGGGAAAGCATTAGCGACGATGCCGGCTCGAAAACACCTTGTACATGGACCAAAGATAAGGCAAACTTCCAAAAGCATTTGATGGTCTTAAAATACTGATTTTATCCAGTGAATCAGATGAAGCGTTGGAAAGCTACAGCCTATATACTATTGTCTGAATGGACATTCTTACCTCTTTCTCATCGCTGCACAACTTATCAAAGAGCCCTTCCCGAAGGAACAAGTCAAGTAACCGGCAGTAGACATATTTCTGATAGTCTCTTAAGCTTGCGAATAATATAAAAAGGAAAAGCAGGGCAACTAATCAAAAATAACCTCGCCATACAATTTGATATGTTCTCTGAAAGCCCAGAGCTTAGATGCAATGGTTGTAAGTCTGTGAGATTCGATGCGATGCCGCCATCGTGATATCATTTCGAATGCCACAGAAAGACATGAAACAAT